AACACACAGACACGCACACAGACACACGCACAGGCACACACATATACACACACAGAAACACACAGGCACGCACGGGCACACATACAGGCACACACACACACACACACAAAGGGACACAAAGATGCACACAGACCCACACGTGCACACACACACACACATAGGCACACACAGACACACAAACACAGATGCACACAGACCCACATACTCACAGACGCAGACACATACACACACACACACATATTAACTAAGAACTCTGTACAAAGGAAAATGCAAACTTGAAACGCTTTTACATTACATAAGATCTAAAAAAATTAATTGCCGGGAGACCTGAAAATGGAAATTATTCAGGCTGAAGAAAAGTGGTATCAGATGGAAATTCAAATCTTAACTTATCTAAAAAACCCTAATTATTTAAAGCAAAAGCAACTACACTATAACATGAGATTTGGAGGGCAGGCATTTCTCACTTAATTGTGCCTGCTTAACTGGGCTTCACAGATACTGGGTTTTTTTTACAAATGGAAGGTGTGTGCCACCCTGCCTCGAGCAAGTCTATCAGAGCCCTTTTTCCAACAGCAGTCACTCATTTCGTGTCTCAGTCACATTTTTCACATATTTCAAGCTTTTTCATCATTAAAATATTTGCTATGGTGATCTACAATGGGAGATGGCAGCTTACTACAAGCTCAAGTGATGATTAGCGTTTTATAGGAATAAAGTCATCAACTATTCTATCGGTATTTGTAAAAAAGTTTATTTATTTATTTTGAGAGAGAGAGATCATACACAAGAAGGGGCAGAGAGAGAATCCCAAGCAGGTTCCGTGTAGTCAGCACAGAGCCCGACTCAGGGCTGAAATTCACAAACCGCGAGATCATGACCTGAGCGGAAATCAAGAGTCAACACATTTAACTGACTGAGCCACCCAGGCACCCCTAAACTATTTTTAAATTAAAGTATGTACATTGTCTTTTAAGAGATGTTATGGCACACTTAAGAGACTACAGTATAGTATAAATGTAATTTTAATTAAAAAAATATATATAACAAAAACATTCATTTGACTCACTATATTATTATTGCAGTGGTCTAGAATTGAACCCACAATATGTTCATTGGAAAATGAACAGTGTCTCTATACGTAAAATCATCATTAGTCATGCAATTACTGGGACTTGTCCTTTCTATTGCAAATTCAGTAACACTTTTTCATTTTCCTTTTATAAAAAGATAATACATAACACAATATTGTCAGGGTCTGCTTGTAGATGCTTCATAAAATTTATAACAGCAAAAAATAGGTGGGTAAAATAAATTATGAAACCATTAAAAATAAGTGGGTAGGTTAAGTTATATCTTGTAAGCTTTTATATTCTATGTGAAGAAATACTAGGTTTAAATAGAAAGCGGTAAATAACTGTATGTTTTAAATCCTAGAATAATTACCAAAAAAAATGCAAAGTATAAGTAAAAAGCCAGTAGACATATTGGATTGTAATTCTAATTCTAACAGTAAAGAAGGGCAGGAAGAGAGGAACACTGGAATAAAAACCAGATGAAACAAATCAAAAATACATTTCAAAGCGGTAGAACTATTCACAACCACATCAACAATTGCCTTAAATGTAAACAGATTAAACACTCCATTGCCTTTTAAAGGCAGAGATTGGAAGCTCAGATTAAAAAATGTAAGATCCAGCTATATATTGAAAAGAAAACTCACTTTAAATATGAAGTCTCAGGTGAAATGTATAAAGATGCAAAAATATGTACCAAAGTAAGAATAAGGAAGCTGGTGTAATTATATTAAAATCACAAAAGGCAGGGGCGCCTGGGAGGCTCAGGTGGTTAGGGGAATGACTCTGGCTCAGGTCATGATCTTGCAGTTTGTGAGTTTGAGCCCCGCTTCGGGCTCTGTGCCGACAGCTCGGATTCTGTGTCTCCCTCTCTCTCTGCCCCTCCCCCGCTCATGCTCTGTGTCTCTCTGTCTCTCAATAATAACTAGACATTAAAAAAAAATCACAAAAGGTAGAATTTAAGGAGTATTACTAGAAAGGATGAAGGGCATTTTTTAGTATTAAAAGATTCATTTCACCAGGAACGCGTAACAAATCACACACCAAAATCAGTACCCTACATCTGTTAGGGTAAAAGACGGGAGCGTATATTCAGGACTTTTGTGAAGGCAACCATTTTTAGGTCACCAAAGTACTCCACATGAAGAGAAAATATTGGGGGTGGCTGGGTGGCTCAGTTAATTAAGCATCTGAATCTTGATTTTGGCTCAGGTCATGATCTCACCATGAGATCAAGCCGTGTGTTGGGCTATGAACTGACAGAGTGAAACCTGCCTGGGATTCTGTCTCTTCCAGCTCTATGCCCCTCCTCTGCTCTCTCTCTTCACCTCCAACTCAAAAATAAATAAGTAAACATTAAAAATGAAACATCGACAAATTGTGTATTATTTCAAAACAGTTCCATGCTCTCTCTTCACCTCCAACTCAAAAATAAATAAGTAAACATTAAAAATAAAACATCGACAAATTGTGTATTATTTCAAAACAGTTCCATGCATCGAAAGTCACTACTAAAAAAAAAAAAGCAAACCACAGAATAGGATAAAATATATACACTATGTACATTTGAGAAAGGTCTTAGATCCAGAATTTACAAAGAATTCTTATAGCTTAATAAAAAGAGAAAACAACCCAAAGAAGAATGCGCAAAAGACCTGAACAGCTGCTTTACAAAGAAGATATAAAAATGACCATTAAGCACCTGAAAAGATGTTCAATGAGATCAAAATTACATCCACGATGAGAGAGCATTGCACACCACTCCGATGGTTACAAGCAGAGGCGAACACCAAAGCCTGAGCGCCGTGGGGCGACTGAAGCCTTCATCCATGTGAAATGTTACTTTGGAAAAAACAGTTTAGCAGTTCCTGATAAATTTCAGTGTCTACCAAGCTTATGATCCAACAATCCCACTCACAGGAGTTTAACGAAGAAAAAGGAAACCCTGAAAACAACCTTGAACAAGAATGTTTATAAGAGCTTTTCCAATAATCAGCAAACACTGGAAAAGACCCATCTGTCCGTCGACTGGGTAATTCATAAAAGGTCATGGTATATTTATACGATGGAATCACTATTCGCCAATTAACGAAAACAAACAGGAATCACGGGCACAAACAGTGGTATGAATGGATCTCAAGAACCACGAGCAAAAGAAACCAGACACAGAAACAGTACAGTATGCATGATTCCATTTATTGAAGCTGAAGAATGGGTAAGGTCTTGGTGACACAAATCAAAACAGTGGTTGTCCAAGGGGGATGGGAATTAACCGGATGGGAGTCAAACCGCTAATAAGAGATCTGTTTGGGAGGTGATGGAAATGTTCTCTGCCTGGATAGGCGTGTACATCAATCGAACCTCACTGCATTCCATGCTTCAGACCTGTATGTGGAAAAAAAAGAAGTATTTTGTAGGTTGGAATACTTATATAGAAATAAATCCCCATCAAATTATGCCAAAACAAAAAATACATGCGATTAATACATTACTTGAAGGACTGCTCAATTTTGCAGTGATATATATCTAATGTAAAAAATTACATTTTAGGGGATGTGTTCATTTGAAGTTTTCGGTACTTTTCTGCCCCCTATGCTTTATAAATATTTGTACTTTGAAAATGGTAGGTATAGTATGGCATTTTAACTTTGGGTTAAAAACTCTGATCTGAAGTCAAGTTATAAAATGGGTAGGGAAGTAATAATACAGCCAGTGTTAAGAACAGGAACATCTAAAATGTTTCATTTAATATACAACATGTGGAAATTAAAAAAAAATTTTTTCTTATATTCAGAGATACCAAAATAAATGAGGAAAAATGTAATATATATGACACTGAAACATCAGTGATCAAAATGAAAAATCATAACAATTTTCAGTAATAAACTTGCTACGATATTAAATATTCATTCAACACACCTCATGCGAAAGTAAATATTTAATTTAGTTGAGCTAGGTAATGGCCTAAAGTATAAGTACATTCAAATAGTGAAGTTGGGGCACCTGTGTGGCTCTCAGGTGGTTAAGCATCTGACTTTGGCTCACGTCATGTTCTCGAGGCCCGCATTGGACTCTGTGCTGACAGCTCAGAGCCTGGAGCTTGCTTCGGATTCTGTGCCTCCGTCTCTCTCTGCCCCTCCCCTACTGGCACTCTGTCTCTCCTTCTCTCAAAAATAAATAAACATTAAAAAAATTTATTTCTAAATAATGAAGTCATTGGTCTCTTTCAGAAGTGCGTAATTCAAGTAATTAAATCCTAAGTCCTATAGATTATTTCTCCCACTTTCTGATTTGTTCTCTTTTCTTGCCAGGCCTGTTCCCCACCTCTTAAATCAGTAAAGTGTCCTCCCCAAGATCGTAGATTCCTGAAAATAGGGACTCTCTTCTTTTCAGAGTTTTTTTCCCTTGAAATCTCCAGAAACCTACTTCAGCGAGAGAGACGAGTGGAAGAACGTCTTTTCACATGAGCCTCAGGCACAGCTAGCTCCGAGAAGCATCCCATCCTGGCCTGAGTGTGCCCCTGTGCCCCAAGATGCCCGCTGATTCTCAGGTGGAATATAAACATGGGGTAAACTTGAATAATGATCAGCGCCCTGTCCATTCATGCTACTTCCTTGGAAGAGTAACCACGCAGAAGTGACCTTCCCTGCTCATCCCTGAGAGGAGGTACAGGGTTGTCATGAGTTTTTTAGATAGTCTTCGATGGTTGTTTTCATTAGACACCTGTCCAGAAAGGTCCGTGTGAGCGCGGGGGCATTAATTATTCTGGGATTTATGTACCCTTCCTGCACCTTGCACCATAATTCTTGTTGTGTGTATGTGCACATGCATTTGATTATGTCAACCTAAATCGTATAGGAAATATATTCCCGACCTTTGTCTTCAAGGAATATGATTTGTTATTTGATAGAAGTTTGGAATTTGATCGCTTCTCGGCCTTTTGGCTAAGATCAAGTGTAGAAGTTTGGAATTTGAAGGACCAATCGATCATATAACGGCTGTGAGTTGTTTTTTGGTTTTTTTTTTATGTTTTTATGTTTATTTATTTTTGAGAGAGAGAGCAGAAGACAGGCAGAGAGATGGGGGGACAAAGGATCCAAAGAGTGCTCTGCGCTGACAGCACAGAGCCCGACGTGGGGCTCGAACTCACAAACCGTGGGATCATGACCTGAGCCAGTCAGACGCTTAACCGACTAAGCCACAACGGTGCCCCAGCTATGAGTGTTTAAACAGCATTTTCTAAATCATCTGAGTATACACGTACAGCCCATGATAATCACTCCATTCACTTGGATGATTTAGACCCCTCCAAGGTGAGCATATAGTCCACAACCACGAAAACGATCATAATTAAACTTCCTGGAGGGGTGTCTCCAATTTTATAACCTAACTTAGGAAAAACACAGAGAAACCTCGAGAGCGTTCAAGTAAGGCAATAAAAAGATCACTGCGTGTTGGAAAATGAACAGCGTCTCTATATGCAAAACCATCATTGGTCGGGGGCGCCTGGGTGGCGCAGTCGGTTAAGCGTCCGACTTCAGCCAGGTCGCGATCTCGCGGTCCGTGAGTTCGAGCCCCGCGTCGGGCTCTGGGCTGATGGCTCAGAGCCTGGAGCCTGTTTCCGATTCTGTGTCTCCCTCTCTCTCTGCCCCTCCCCCGTTCATGCTCTGTCTCTCTCTGTCCCAAAAATAAATAAATAAAAACGTTGAAAACCATCATTGGTCGTGCCATTACTGGGACTTGTCCTTTCTATGGCAAATTCAGTAACACTTTTTCATTTTCCTTTTATGAAAAGATAATACATATTTGAGAAGACTGTTTGGGACTTATGAGATGAAGTTATGAAGATGTAAAAATGGAACGCATCGAAACCAAACTTGCCTTATTAGCACGGCGCTCAGAATAACAGAGCCACCAGTCAGATATGATTCAAAATGTGCATCGTGATTCACTCTCGGTGCCTTCGTGAAATTGGTACCAGCGGTGGGGCTCTGCCATCACTTCGTTATTGTTGACTGCGTCAGCCCCAGAATGATGGAAAAGAAAACGATTCCTTACGGGCTTCTGCAACGTTGCCAATGAGGAGAGACGGAGACACCACAGAGATGAGTGAGACGTGAAAGTGACTGAGGCAGATGGGGCATCCAGTCACTGCAGCCATGCCAGTCCAGGAAACAATGACCATCAGTGACCCTTTGCTAGCTAGATTTTCTGCAAGGTGTTTGAAGAGTTCCCCTTCCCAATAGGGCTGAACTGTGGTCTTCGTGCCTGAACATGGCTGGGCTACTGTTTTTGTGTCTGAAGTGCATGTAAGTACCATTACTGCCGAGAAGAACTCGCATGCAGCTGAAAGCTGGGGAAAGAAGGAAATTTTGCAAGAATGTAAGGTGGTGATGGTGGCTGGTGGAAGGTGGGGGGTGGTGGTGAGGAAAGGAGTCAGGCAAGGAGCAGCAAGAGTGTGGCAGAGACAGTGCAAGAGAGACACGAGCTCGCGGCTGTGCATTTGTTTCCCTTCCTTCTCCCTTCTTTGTTTCTCTGCCCCCCAGGAAGTTGTTGTCACTTGCCTTACCCCAAAGCTCGTCTTCTGGAAAAGTTCCCCCGAGGTTTGAAGCATTTCCTGGATACTCTGGACAAGAGCCCTCCAGGGACATCAGCCTGGTTTGGGAATCATCGTCAACATAAGAGTGTTATCGGCAACACCATTCTTAGATTTTGTCACTGTTGGGGCTGATTTGTCACTGTTGGAGCCTCTTTCGGAAAAGTACAGTCATGAGGAAGAACGGGAAAGAGAAAGGAAGGGAGGGAGGACAGGTGTCCTGGGAGAGCTGTGCCGGACTGAAATCGAAGGTGACAAAAGTAAAGGTGAGGGTGTCACCGAGACGGGAAGAAACGGTCCAAGCAGGAGGGCTGCAAGTGAGCAGCTCGGGGGAAGGAGAATCCTGCGCGCTGTCCCTCGGGGGGCAATATGGAGGCTGTGGCGAGGACAGCGGGAGCTTGCTGAGGTCGGGTACCGCTACCTTGGACAAGAAGGATGGTAGGAGAAGATCAAGGGCTCTGGAGTGAAGCAAACATAGACTTCTACTGACCGTGTGACTGCGCAGCCTTGGGCCGTGTCTTCACAGCCAGCGGGAAAAGCATCATCCTGGAATTGAAGAGAGAGAACTTATGATAAGAAGCGGGGTCTCTTAGGCTAGCATCCAAAGATGCTTTTAGCACCTCGCATTTACAGAATATGTTTATTCCGCTCTAATTTGACATGTTAGCCATAAAAGGCAGCCCAAATCCTTTCTTTTTTCTTTTAATCAATGTTTTTTATTTATTTTTGAGACAGAGAGAGACAGAGTGTGAGGGAGGGAAGGGCAGAGAGAGAGGGGGACACAGAATCCGAAGCAGGCTCCAGGCTCCGAGCTGTCAGCACAGAGCCCGACACGGGGCTCGAACTCACGGACCGTGAGATCATGACCTGAGCCGAAGTCGACGCTTAACCGACTGAGCCACCCAGGCACCCCAGCCCAAATCCTTTCAACACATGAAAAAGTTATTTAAAAATTATACTGTCATTTCCTGCTGGCAGATAATGGGAAAATAAAATAAACTATAATAAAATGAGAAGGAAAAATGTTTGAGTGATGTCTATGAGGCAGGGAATATATACATTTTGTGTATTTTCTGATACAGCCACAGAACTGGATGTGCTTGCCCACATCTATAGGCCACATAAATTAATGCAGTCCTGAGCACAAAAAAGGCTCGCTTTAGACGAAAACCAATGAAGAACTGGTTTTAGAATTCTCATAAATCAGGTATGGAGGATGCTCCATGAATTCACCATTCCATCTCACCCACCACTTGATGGGGGGTTCATAGGGTTGGTGTTCAGAGATCCAGTGGCTGCCGGGAACAGATGCGCCACGTTGGGGTCAGGTAGCCTAGGAAACAAGGGAGGGGCAAAGACTTATTGTTTCTGCTCAGTGAAGATATCCTTGGCCTTGAATTACGTAATATACACGCCACGACATAGCTACTCAAAATCACAGTTTTTGATATTTGAACAAGCAGCATCTTGATCTTTTTCTGTTTTCTTCTGTAGAATCCCACTAGTTGTGTAAAATGAATTTCTCTGTTACAATATTTATAAAATAAGGAAGTATAGAATCCTTAAATATTTTTTTTTTAGAATCCTTAAATATTTGGCCCTCTCACCAGCCATATTTTTAGTACCTCCTGTCCACGTGAACTACACTATTAATCTATTAATGTTTTCTACTCCTTTGGTCAATGTTTTTCATTGACGTTTTCCACAAACAGAGAGAAGAGCCTTCTCAGGAGGTGTGTACCCTCGGAACAAGAGACTTCTTCGGTACAGTTTCAAGAAGAAACCATTTTCCCTCCAAGGCGGAAGGGATCTAATGTAATCAATCTGCCAACAAGTCTTGGCCGGTTCTCCAGAGGGATGATGGCACACACAGAGCTCACCAGGAGTCTGTTTCTTGCTGGTTGGACATTCCACTGTAATTGTAGACAAATCGGCCCCGGTGCCATTGTCAGATACTTTGTCTCCTCCAATCAGTGCACTCTGGGTCTGGGAACTGCCTTACATCTGGGAGCTATTATCTGGAACGACCTCCGATGTCAAATGCCTTCGCCTGGGTTTTCTACAAAGGGCCGGATGCTGTGTAGAGGGTCAGGAGAGAGGGAGGAGGGGGGAGGAAGGCAGGGCAGTAATGCAGGCCACGCATTACCCGATGTCACTGCCTCCCAGTGAGCTGGGACGGGGCACGGCAGGCAGCTGTGCAGATGTGGCCCCTGAACTGGCTCTAAGGAAGAATCAGATCTCAGAGGTATCCACAGAAGGAAGGAAGTGGTGCTGAGGGAATCTCAGAGAAGTTTCCTCCCGTCTCCTTTTTCCCATTGCTCCAGATTCACTGCACGGGTAGGTATCTGCCCCATGCCCCCAGGTAGAGTTATCTAGTCCATCAGGGACCATCTCCAGAAAGCCGGGTCCATGCCTTGTGATGTGGCATTTCAGCGACTTAGCATGGATTCGGGGAGCCTCAGGGAGTGCAGCAACGTTGGTGGTGAAGGCAGGAGACACCTCGAGAAGGAAAAAGATGGTCGGGAGAATGTGAAGAGCTGAAAGATTTGTGTTCGACATTCCTATCTAGGCAGGAAGAGAAACCCACAATCCCTAATGGAAATGACTGATATATTTGACTATACAGAACTTGTCATTTCGGGGCTCCTGGGTGGCTCAGTCTGTTAAGCGTCCAACTCTTGATTTCAGCTCAAGTCAGGATCTCAGGGTTCAAGTCCTGAATTGGCCTCTGCACTGACAATATGAAGCCTGGTTGGGATTTTCTCTCTCTCCCTGTCTCTCTCCCTCTCTCTCTCTCTCTCTCTCTCACACACACACACACACACATAAATAAATAAACTTAACTTTTAAAAAAAAAAAAAAAAGAACTTGTCATTTCTACGAGGGAAAAAAAGACATGATATACCAAGTCAAAAGAAAAGAGATAAAATGCTAATAATAATAGAAATTTCTGATCAAAAAAATCTCTCTCATGTTGACAACAAAAAGACAAAGTACCTAATAAAAATGGGCAAAGAATAAAGAAAGGCAGGACATTACAAGAGGCTAAAATATTTAATTACCAGCCTAATATCACAGTTATTACTCAAAATAAGTACAAATTCTTGCAATACTATGGCACCATTTTTCAGCAATTACCTGTGCAAATATTTTAAGCTTATAATATACAGCATTAAAGAGAATGAGAGAGAAAAAGAACTCTCATGAACTTTTGGCAGAAAATCATGAATCGGAATGAACTTTTTGGAAGGATAATTTGATAATATCTATCAACATTTAAAATTTACATGTAGTACTTATAAAACTATTTCCTATAGATATATGAGTATACATAAACATATGCATATAAAGATGTTAGTAATAGCACTTTTGCAATATTAAAAAACAGAGAAAATCTAAATGTCTACCAACAGAAAACTAATGAATTAACTAATGAAACATAGTTACTTTTAATGGAATGGTGGATGGCCTTTAAAAAGAATAATACAGATCTACTTATATAGGGAAATGTTAAAGATACA